ACTAATTTTGTACCCCAATTAATGTTATCTTTTCAAAAACAATTTCATTTACCTCTTCATAGAATGCAATTGTATTCTGCTATGATGATCTTGATTTCCATCAGTAAAAATTTATTTCGTATATAAATATCTACAAAATATCCCTGATTTTTACCTCTTGGTTCCCAAATCCTAAGGTATTTACTGTCTTGGTTCTTTTCAGAAAGTTTGCTGATCCTTGTTGCTCTAGATGTATGAAATGAATTTATAGCAAATTTGAATACAAGTCTAAAATGATATTCATAGTGTTAAAATTTCTTTCTTTAGGTGAAAAGAAACATGTTTACACCAATGCCAAAAAGCAGATGCTAATTTCTCTTGCTCCTCCTGTTCTCACTCTTCATTTAAAGAGATTTCAGCAGGTACCACCCTGGTTTATTACCCAGAATTTCTTTTAAAGACCTAATTTTTTGTTAGTGTCTCAACATACTATTGTGTTTCTTTGGTTATTTCTTAATTTTAACATCAAAAAAGTAGAAAAGAAAAAAGTATGGGTAAAGACAAATTTACATCTTTTTTCCATCTTATGGGAGAAATTTGGATATAATCCTTCCTGGTTTTATTAGAACTCCTGTTTACTACTTAGAGCTCACACTTAGGGAGTTTAGTGATTTTTTTGGTCCGGTTTGTGTTTAATCTCTTATTTTTACTAACCCTTGATTAAAAAGACATTTGTACTTTGGATTTTCATCATTTTGGTGACCCCCATCTTTTCTGGAAGGCTTTTGTTATAAGCAGCACACATTTCAAATTCAGTTCCAGATTCCCAAAGTGCTTGTAGAATGTTGCCTTCTGTGTTTAGTTGAGTCTCTATAAATAACTTACTCAGTATGGTTCAGCGTGAGGCCACGCTGTGTACTCATAGGAGATATTTTGCTCTTGCTGAGTTTTAAGTACTCACAACCCCTGGTCTAATCTGGCTCTGGTGGGTGGCTGAAGCAGAAACCCAAAGAGGGTGTGTGTGTTGTGTGCGCTTAGCAAAACCAAAATATCTTAAATGAATTAGCAGTCAGGAAGAATAGTGTCTTCTATGAAGACTGAGCTAGAGCTGTATGGTGTTCTTCTGGGCATGGAGTGGGTGTAAGGTTTACTTAATAGGTGCAGCTTTTCAAGGAAAAGAACTCAGTCTGTTACCCCTCTTTCTTTTTTTAAGGCTGGTTTTAACCTACGCAAAGTGAACAAACACATAAAATTTCCGGAAATCTTAGATTTGGCTCCTTTTTGTACCCTTAAATGTAAGGTAGGTGAATTTGATCTTTCTGGGAAAATCTTTTAAAGGGAAATCAGCCAAATAGTCCTACCAATAACTACCTAAGTGTGAAGTTGATATGCTTAGAGTAGGTCTTTTGTTCTTTTTAGAATTTCAAGCTCTGTGCAGAATCATTTTGTTCATTCAGCATTTTTTGAACCCATGTTATGACAGAGGTTGTCTGGGGAGCTGAGTACATAAAACTAAAGGTGAATCAGGTATATGAATGGATAATACTAAGTTGATATGGTTGACTGTTAAAGAGTGATGTTCACTGAACAGGGATGATGTGCATTTAGCCCAGTGCTGGTGGTTCAGAGAAGGCTCTGTGAAGTAGACCATGTCTAGCCAATTCTTAAAGGAGTAGAAGTTAGTATGATAAATCAAGAGGCAACACATTTTCAAAGTAGAGGGAAGAACAGAAGCAAAAGAAGAGCAGTTTAAAGTGGCATGGTAGATGCTAAGGACTGGCAGTATAAGCAGTTCTAGAATTTATAGTGCAGGATCTAGGGAACACGGAAAGATGAAGCCAGAGAGGTGAGATAGACGTGAGGTTTTTAGCAGGTTCTCATGGTGAGGAGTTTGGGTTTTAATAGATACGCAGTAGTGAGCCAATGAAGAGTCGGAAGCAATGGAGTGACATGGCCAGATCTTCAGGTACCTTGCCGAAGCATGGAGGCTAGATTTTAGGGAGGAAAAGACTAGAAGCAGGAAAACCAGTTTGGAGATTATTGAACTGGTTGAGTGACCAGATAAGGGCTTAAACTTGGGAGGAAGACAGGGAGACAAAGAATATTTCGGAAGGCAGAATTAACCAGAATTTTGATCAGTTATCTCTAGGAGAAAAAGATTGTTAGGCTGAAGAACGTAGGTGAGATGAGAGTTGGAAAAATGGGAGAATCGTGATGCAGGCCTGGAAAGTTAGTGAGTTTTGAAGCCAAACAGTGCTGAGTGATGACCAATTCCAAAAACAGTTTGGTTGGCTGAAATGGAATGGCACTGAAACTCTTACGAGGCTCATTGATGAACAGTGAAATTCCTGAAGCTGGTAAGCTTTGCGATGAAGAAGTGTTAAGTTCTTCAGTGAATGAAGGACAGAGAGAGTTATGAAGGGTTATTGAGAGCAGTGATGTTCACTCAGCAGGACTTTGTAAGAGAACATCATGGAGTAGTTTTCTGAAAGCGGCCCCAGCTTGGAGAATGACAGCCTGTTTGCCCTCCAGCATATGGGATCTGAGCCAAATAACCACCTCACCCTAGATGGGGAAGTTGAATGTGTTTCATGTGGAATCCCTAGGGGCAGGCATTTAAAAAGTAAGAGGTGATTTTTGGCACAATCTAAATGCTATCCTCTTGTTAAAGGCCTACACTTTGGGCAGGAACTAGGATAGTTTTGTTTGTTTAAGATTGATTTATTTGTAGAAGAACTGGGGTGTAGGCCAGAGGTGCAGGAGGTGAGAGAATTCACCAGAGACAAGAGTGGGGAGCGGAACAGATGGATCTACTGACATACACTGCAAGACAGGTCTGCTGAGCCATATGTGGGTTAGCTCCCTGGCTAGGTACCAAACTCAGGCCCTAGCAGTGATACTTAACCCCTAAGCCACCAGGGAGGCCCTGAACTAGGATAGTTATTGAGGTATTTTGGAATTATCTGGTCCCAAGACTCTCTAAAGAAACGGGCAGTTCAGTTAAAGTAGCTGTGCCGGGGAACTGCCGTAACAACAAGGGAACTGCCGTAACAAGTGGACTGTGTTTATGGTTTTTTGAAGCACTGCCACGGCCGCTCTCTAATGAAAACTGACTCTGGTGGCTGAGAAAAAGGTCACGAGAAAATAGTGAAGTTCAGACTCAGGAATGATTTCTCAATTCTCAAAAGTAAAGGTTAGATGGACACTTTGTGTAGTTTAAAATTGTCTTGCCAACAACTGTATAAATGGAATTAAAACTCACTTTTAATTCTATTTTTAAAGAACGTAGCTGAAGAAAATACAAGGGTGCTCTATTCCTTATATGGAGTGGTTGAGCACAGCGGCACGATGAGGTCAGGGCACTACACTGCCTACGCCAAGGCAAGGGCTGCCAACAGTCATCTTTCTAACCTTGTCCTCCACGGCAATATTCCACAAGGTAAGATGGCTTGGGAAATTCTGGGGTTCAGCAGACATGGCAAACCAAAACTAATGATGTTTTCCTTTTGTGTTTTACATTTCCTCTTGACAGACTTTGAAATGGAGTCAACCAAAGGGCAATGGTTTCACATCAGTGACACACATGTGCAAGCTGTGCCTACAACTAAAGTACTAAACTCACAAGCATACCTCCTCTTTTATGAGCGAATACTGTAACAGTGTCCAGCAGTGGAAACTGTGGCTTTTTTAATGGCTATAATAATAATAAAGAAGTAAAGACTAACTGCAAAATCATGTTCACTTAAAATTAAATACATGCTAGAAGAAACCATGTTTATTAAAATACTGAAGGGAAAACATCTAAAAATTTACAGTGATTTTGTGTTGTCATAGTGGTTTTTATTCTTGTTTCCAGCTTCTGGAAAGAATTTTGAATTAAGACCTCTGTGCTGAATGCTTGGGTGGTGGGGTGCAACACACCAATAAATTGACTTACCCCCAAAACTTGTTTTATTACTTAAAAGATCTCAAGTTACAGTGACTTACCCAAGCAGGTATCATTTTTAAATGCTTCTGATGAAACTTCACAATTGTGAAGTTTATTAAAAGAATGTTCATTTTGTGAGTATAGATGTATTGACAGCAGTATGTGATTAGGAGACACATTTATCTGTGTCTGATCCCAGTGTATGCAAAAGCTGGGGGGTAACCCAGCTGTACACTTGCTTCCTTGCAAGTGTTAACTGACCCAAGGTAGATACTCCTGGGCCACTAAGTAACTTGTTACAAGACCCCTCATTCAGATATTGGAGTTGCACTTGGCAGCCTTAAGGATCCCAAAACCTGTCTATAAACTTCCTCTCAGATACTCTATTAGGGTATCTTTGATGTAAATGAACCCTTCTTGCTATACAGTGAGAGGTTATCACTCTAACACTTAAGTTTAGACTAGTTGACCATATTGTTTCCAAAAGTCCTTTGAAATACCACAAAGAGTATAAAATTTCAAAGTGTTGTTCAAGGACTTGCTATCACCAATACATATGTCCCAGAAAAATAACTTATTACAGTGTCCTTTTATTTTTTAAATACTCTGCTTATGAAAATGAAAAATAGGATTTGCTTTATGAAAACTGATTTCCTTTATACATCTGGAGATGTTTCCGGTTGTATCACAAACACCTTTGAACTTTGCTACTACAATGTATTTTAAGTCAGCCATTCAGATCTTATCACTTGGAACATACCACCTTGAATGTTAGGGTATCCAGAGCCTTGAGAAACCCACTTTGAAAATCTAGTTGTGGGGTTGACTTGACTTTCTGTGATGGATGATAGTAAATATTTCAGGGTTGCGGGCCACTCAGTCTGTCATAACTGCTCAACTCTGCTGTAGTGATGCATACGGAGAGGGCTGTGTTCCAAAGAGATTGACATCAACAGGCAGTAGGCCAGACACATTGGAAAGGGATCCCTGATTACTTAAGGGACCTGCCCTAAGCTCTAAGCTAATCTCATGAACAAGGATGCAAGGATTTAAAGACCAAGAGATAATGGGGATCAGACAAGGAAGCTTTGCTAGTAACAACATGTTTATTTTTTCCAGCCGAGGATACAAACACAACATTTCTTAATTTAAGGAGAATATGAAAACATCAGGCAATTCCTAGAGTAATACTACAAACACAGCCTTCACCTACAGTAAAAATGAAGCCATTCAGTCATTTTGGTCATCATCCCAGTCCTTCTTCCCACTGGGAGGTTTGGGCCCACCGGCTGGTTTTGCCATAATGATCTACAAAAAGGAAAATAACCATAAAGATCACAGAAATGCAACTTTTAGAATGGAAACGCATTTTTGCACGGCCCAATCAAGATGAAGCAATTAGGTATCAGCAATCTATTCTACATATTGCACATGAAACACTAGCATAAAGTTTGTTAGCTTCCAGCAGGGTGAGGCCTTCCTACTTTTGTGGATAGTAACAGCAACAAAACCCACACATGTTAGTGAAGGGCATGTAAGACACACACTTCAAGAACCCAAAATGAGCTGAATGAAAAATATTTGCATGCACACGGTATAAATCAGTTTGGCACCTGATTTGCTACTTATATATGGGGTTCATCTTGCCAACCATCTTTATCCCAATTTCCTTGTGGATTAGGAGCTTTAGGTCCACCTGCCAGTTTTCCCATTATAATCTATAGTGGTTGACACGTAAACATTAAATTTACACTTAGCTTTTCTAGTACCTGTAAAGTTTCCTAATACCATTTAAGAGGCAGGAAGTACATTCATAAAATTCCAAGCACTTAGTTCCTTGGTAATTTAAAAAATACATCAGAAGCTTCTAATTTATCTAGAAATGCTGACCCACCATTTCCCAAGTAGAACTGTCTTAGTGTTCAACAAAGCAAAAACGGACAATATAAATCAGAGACATCCTGAAGGGGAGGAGGCGGGAGAGGGATCAGAGGGAGGGAGACAGGAGCATGGGGGACTGAGGTGATGGTGCACAGGTGCATGGGTGAAGGATACTCTAGGGACTACACCTGAAGGGGTGGGGGGAAGCAAATACAAAATAAATAAATAAATAAATCTGGAACATAAACACCCAGTCTCAATTATTGCCATAGTTGAAACTGGAGAGTCAGTTCCATTTTAAGTCATCTCGAGCTAGGATAAAATTTAAAAAGGATTTTAATAAGGTAAATTCTGTCTTCTTGTAATCACTACCAACAGCTCCTTATTATGATTAGCCAAATACTAACATCCTGTCCCTTCATTTCTACCTACAATTTGCTGTCTCTCCCAAGACTAATCTGACATGATGACTTAATGGAGTTATACTGTGCCTTTAATAGCTGCAATTTCCGTAAGTACTGACAAATTCATTGCTTAGTAATTCCAGAATCTTGCAGGAAATGGATTTCATGATGTTCACTAAAAAATACATCCCTGAAAAGTTAGAGTTCTTTTCATTTTTCTTCTTTGCTTAGAAAAAAAGGGGGGGGGGGGAGGGAAGAGGCTGAGGGCAGAGATACTATCATTTTTAACACCTTTAAGATCTTTTAGGAACTCAAGACAAAATTTGTCAGAATAGGAAAAAAAAATTTAAGAGCCCAGGTCCTAACACCCCCAGGAACAACTAGAGACGTCATCCTCCTCAGAGCTGGTAGCTGACACTTTGCTGCTGCGGGGCTTCTCAACCCTTCCATGTTGCTATTACATACTGAACTTCCTCTACAGATTTTTTAGTACAAAGGGGTTTTATGCTTAAAAAAAAAAAAAAAAAAAAAAGCAAGTATGAACCTTTAACAGATTTGGTTTTACATTACAATTTAAACATGGCAAAGTTTCTTTCACTGACAAAGTTTTCATTTTAAATTGGCTGAAATAATTTAAGTACAAGTTAGACTGTAACAAAAAAAAACCAGACAAAAATACCTTTTGAGAGGGGCACTTAGCACCCCTAAAATATACTCCCTTGAATACAATGAGAAATGTGCTATCTCCTAGTTCCATTCACTACGGATTAATGTAATTATCCTTGAAACCAAAATAGCACTTTCACTCACCTGATCCACTCTAAGTACAGTGACAGCAGCATTAGTAGCCAGCTTGATAGCCCAGTATTTCCCCAAGTAAGTATCTAGAATGCCCGCTTCCAACATGTCCTTTACAGCAGGAACTTCGGCCTGTCAACATAAAACGTGTTCTTTTACTTTATTGTTATGAAAATCATTTATTTCCAAACAACATTTACTCAGCGATTTGCCTTTTAAACTTATTACTTCTATTTTTAGGTTATATATCCAAAAAATAAAACTGGAGATTTTCCCCCCGAATACCTCAATGTCAATTTGCCTTTTAAACTTATTACTTCTATTTTTAGGTTATATATCCAAAAAATAAAACTGGAGATTTTCCCCCCGAATACCTCAATATCCAATCCAACATTTTTATTTCCTTCTTGATGTACTGCATAAAGTTTAGAGATCACTTCATTGGCTTTAACACCAGAATTTTCTGCCAGTGCCCGGGGAATAGCTTCAAATGCCTCAGCAAATTTCTTAATGGCATACTGTTCAAGTCCAGGACACGTCTGAAACAAAAGTGTGTTTATCACTGTATTTGTTTTGTTCAAGAAACCAGAAGAGAATCAGTTTCTTACAGACAGCACCATACCTCTCCATATGATGTAATTTGTTTGGCTAATTCAATTTCTGTGGCTCCACCTCCAGGTACCAGACGTTTATCCTGCAAGCAGCCCAAAAAGGAAAAAGGGTCACAAAGAAGCAGTGTGCAGTTTTCTAATCTTTGCAGGTTTCAATACATCACTGAATGAAAGCTTTTCATCAGGCTTTGTTACATTCAAATTATAAATTTTGTAAAAACTGACTGATTTGGGCCAGTTATCTTATGCACATTGCCTGGCACCTGAAAAAGGAGGATGAAAACTGAGCATGGAACAGCACCGCATCTCACCCAATTTCCACCGCAGAGCACTTCAGAGCAGTGCTCGGGCAACTGGAGTTGCACTGGCACTGAACAGCGCCACAGGCTGTCCCTGTAAAAGTAGCTTTACTCTTCATCCCTTTGCATAACTTAGAAAACTATCATATTCACCAGCAAAAGCTGCTTTGCTTTACATAAGTATTTATCTTGACATTCGCAGTGTATTCAGGAGTCGTAAACTGTTTTTGAGGCAGTACACATTACTAAATTATTGCTAATACTGACCCTTGTAAGAACTTTGAAAGTGTTAACACCGTCATCGACTGCCCTTTCTATGTCGTCCATCAGATTGTCTGTAGAGCCTCGCAGCACTATGGTAGAAATGGCACCATCTTCCTTTTCTGTCGATAAATTACATATACTTGAGAATTCAAGAAAGAAAGAGAAGATCCCACACTTACATAAACATTTTATGATGACTACATACCATGCTTAAAAACCACCACCTGTGTATCCCCAACTTCTGAGAGGTAAACACTGTCACAATGTCCCATTTCTTCAAGGACAGGAGGAGTCTGTAAGAAAATAGCCGTTGTAATGAAAGCAGTTACAACAGGTTTTACTATCTTTTAATGCTGTCCAAAATACATACCAATCTAGGAAGAGCTGTAGCACTAACTGTTTTACATAGTCTTCGGAGATCCCACTTTGAGTTTAGCCTTTAAAAACACAAAGACCTTAAACTAAGTTTTAATTTCAACAAACAGCTTAATAAAATGCAGAAATAAAGAAATTACACTGGTCCCCAAGCCACAGCCTATTGACCGCTAAAGTTTAAGCTCAGAATAAGTCTGGATTGCAACAGGCCTTGATGGCATTAATCTACATCAGGAGAGTCCATCTTTAGGATGTCGGGGATGTGTATACTCCCAAAGCACCACGGAAGCCCAGGTACACTGGAAGCATTCTGCTTTATACTTTGGTCAACTGTATGTTCTGTGATGAAGAGTGATTCATCCTATACATTGGATTAGATGCTGAGAGAGAGAGAAATAGCTAAGTTTGTCTAGTGTGACCCATAAATCTGTTCTGGGTTAGAAGTTATGTTCCTTAGCTCTCCCCACTCCCCTCCAGCTGATAGTGGGTGCCAGGTTTGTGTCTGATCTCTCTTAAGCTGTTCCTTTTGCCTGGAATGCTTCCCTGTCCCTTTCCAAGTAACCAATGTTATGGATCCTTCTGTTCTCAGCTTAAATACCAATTTTCTCAGAGGTGCCTCCCGTGCCCCTAGACCAAGTTAAGTCCTTTTGTATTTAATGCCTCTTCTGCTTTTTCTACGTCTTCATGGTGTTGGAATTGTTTGGTGTTTCCCAATAAAAATCCATTTACAGTATAGATCAATAGTTGAAGGCTGCTTCCTTACCTCACCAGCATGATGTTGTATTTGTTAGCATAATGAAGAGCCATGTCTGCCACTTTGCCACCTGTTACTATGACATTTGCACCAGTATCAGCAATAGCTTTGACTTGTGCATCCATTAGATTTTCTTCTCCCTTACTAAAATTCATCAGTTCTTCAGCAGTCTTTATCAATACCGTTCCCTAGCAAAACAAAGTGGCTATGATCAACTACAGATGTAGCTATAAAACCATTTCATCAATTCATTGTTGAGTCATAGGATTAACATTTTCTTTTTGTGTGTAAGATATGGGGTATAGGCCAGAGGTACCGGGAGGTAGGGGGTGGTGAGAGGATTCACCAGAGATAGGGGAAGCAGAACAGGCAGATCTACTGAAATACACTAAGGGGAGCAGCAGGCAAGACAGGCGAGGTCTGCCACGCCATATATGGGTTAGTTTCCTGGCCAGGGGATCAAACTCAGGCCCAAGCTGTGAGAGAGACTTAACCCCTAGGCCACCAAGGAGGCCCAGGATTAACATTTTCTCATGGAAACAATTTAAGATTTGGGAAAAAACAAAGATAAATATGCATGTTGTTATGAAGCACAATGTAAAATCTGGATGGGAACAGAAAGTCAGCTTGCTCTTAACCCCTCTCCCCCAAAGCCCTCGTGCATCTGCTCTCTGACTGCACAATGGTGCGAAAGTTAAAGAAATGTTGTATTTTTCAGATGTTGGACAGGTGTCCTGACATTTGCATTTTCACAAATGTCTACCAGTGGTGTACCAAATTAATGATGCTGGGGTTCTTTCTCAAACTTTGAAAATGTGGAATAAATGACTACCCTTCCCTGAACCTGCAACACTTTAAAAACCATCAGTAACTCAGATTTCAAAAATGTTAAGGATGAAATCAGCACTGACCTATAAATATAAACTTCAGAACACTTATTTTTAAAAACAAAGTAACTTCAAATTGCATTAGGTCAATTTTGTTTCAAGATGGGACAGAATCTCAACATTATTAAAAAATATTTTAACGTAGAGCACAAAAATACTCATACTCTCTTCAGTGGGCACGTTACATACTGAATGTGTAAGTTCTACTAGAAGTTAAGGGCTGTGTATTAGAATATAAACAATCTGTCACCATTAAATGCCTCAAGTTTTATTGTATGAATTAGATATACTAAGAACATATATGACTTTAAAAAATGGGTATGGTTCTGCAGTTTTCGGTAATGATAGTACATACCCCATTAAGAGCAACTTCTACTCAAATCTGTAGAATCCTAAAACAATCAGGAGTAGACCAAAATTTTTTATCTTTAATTTTAGTTTCGAAGTCTACATACCTTAGTTTCTGTTATCATACCATCAAAAGGACAAGAGTACACTGCTATTTTTGCATCTTTGACAGATGTCACATCACCTTCAGTTTCCTTCTTAAAAACCATGCCATGCAACACCGAAGAGGAATGGACACCAGAGCCCTAAGAAGTAAATACCAAAGTAATCAGTGATCTCATGAAAATAACCAGCTAAGCTATTGATATTTCTAAGTATCAAAAACATCCTTTTCTAAATAAAAACACCAAGACAGTGATAACCAGGGGTCAGAGGTGGGGCGGCAAACACGAAGCTGTGGAAACGGGACAGTTTTGGGAGAACAACTCCATGACCATTGCTCACTCATTCACCAGGCGCTCAGTGCTGAAGTACCAAGCGGAGTCATGAGCACTGGGAACAGAACAGGAACAAAGCTGAAGTGCTGACCTTACAATTAAAGAAGGGGGCAGAAGTGAGGGCAGGGCGGGCAGCACATGTAGTGAGAAAACATGGCATATAAAAAAAAATTTAAATATAAACACACAACTAGCATATGTATATCAGCTAAACTCAACTACATTAACAATCGCACATCAATACAAAATCATTCCAAAAGTTTTTATATCAAGTACACAAATTTTTGTGGAAAAAATACTGAAATAAACATTAAAGTGAATTTTATTATAGAACCAATAGTAGAACCAACTTCCTTCCCACTCAAAATCACCTTTCAAGCAATTTTTATAATCCCACATATATATTCTTCAAAAAATTACTATTTTATTTATGTACTATTCTCAACCCTTATGGAAAAGTAACTTTATAAAGAGAAAATAGCCGAATATCCTTTTAAATTTAACAGGGTATGACAACGTTAACAGTACGAAAATGTAAATGATGCCTCAAAAAGCAGAAGTCTAAACTGCATGAAGTGTTCCAAACCTGTAAGATTCAGGTTCACATGAACACATGTTTTTTTTTGTCTGCTCTAGAATAGTTAATGTAGTTTCTAAACTCACCAGGATTTTACAAACTCTGATGTTATCAACATTGAAATGGCCGGAATCAGGAAAAATAGACACTGTTAAGAGAAGACGACACATCAATATTTAACGGGGCACTGAGAAAGTTTCTTAGTCACACTAAGACATGTTTATTTTGGATCCTTCATTTACTCACCACATGCCTGAGCAATAAGCTTGGCCAGAAACACTTCATTACCATACTGTTTACTCATTATGGAGGTATGAAGTAGAGATGATACTTCCTCAGCATCTCTAAGATTTTTTGCAGAACAACACACCAAATCAGGAAGAATCTCATGGGCTTTTCTGCAGGCTATTTCATAACCTTCTATGACCTTAAAGAGAAGAGCAGAAACATTTCTTCAAGACACAATTTTGGCAAGACAAAGTAGCTTATTTTGGCAAGCCAATGAATATGGACATTTTCAATAGAAAACAACATAGTTCCTGAGTGATGTGTGGTGGAGCCTGTTGCTAAAGAGTAAAGGTTCTGTTGACAGCCTGAATTTGAGTTGTAACTGCCACTTATTGTGTACCAAATATTAAGCACGATTTTTCTAACTTAAGTCTCACCTTTCTCTAAAAGGGGATTAATTTTATTTTAATTAAAATTTATTTTTTATTTATACAATAGCTGGGGTACAGGCCAGAGCCATGGGAGGGTGAGAGGATTCACCAGAGACAGAGTGGGGAACAGAACAAGCAAATGGACCGAGGGAAGGAGCAGGCGTGGCAGGAGAGGTCTGCCACGCCCTGCGGGAATCTCCGCCGGCCAGGGATCAAACCCGAGCTGCAGAGGCTGCGGACTGCTTCACAGCACAGCACTCAACCTGCTGCGCCACCGGGTAGGCCCAAAAGGTGATTAATTTTAATAGGCCCCATGCATACGGTTCTTATAAAAATAGAATGAGAGGGTCTCTCTGGTGGCCTAGGGGTTAAGTCTCAGCACTATCAGGCTATCGCCAGCCACTGCAGCCTGAGTTTAATCGGAGCTGACCCACACAGCACAGCATACTTTCTCCTGTCTTGTCCTTGCTCACCTCAGCAGTGTATTTCAGCAGATCCCCCTGTTCTGTTCCCCACTCTGTCTCTGGTGACTCCTCTCACCCTCCGCACCTCTAGCCTACACCCCAGTTCTTCTATGCAAAAATCAGATAAAATCTTAAAAAAAAAAAAAGGGGGGGGGCCTCCCTGGTAGCACAAGGGGTTAAGTCTCAGCACTATGGATCCATCGGCAGCCACTGTAGCATGAGTTCAATCTCTGGCCAGGAAACTAACCCACATGGCGCAGCAGACCTCTCCTGTTTCACCCACTGAGCCCCTCAGTAGTATATTTTGGTGGATTCGCCTATTCTATTCCCCACTCTGTATCTGATGAAGCCTCTCATGCCCCCCCCCCCACCTCTGACCTGTACCCCAGCTCTTGTATGCATAAATAAATAAATCTAGGGAAAAAAAGATTAGAATAAGATACTTCATGTGAAGTCTAAGTAACATAGTGCTGGGACAGAGTAAATGGCTCATGTTACTATTACTACCAAATTGTTACTTAAGTTTGAAGCAACTGACGTGTGTGTATACATACACACACACACGCACGCACACACGCGTGCGCAAAAGTTATTGAGAGTTGTACCAGGAGACCTTACCTCAGAAACTGACAGGCCAATTCTCAGAAGCTCTTCAGCTAATTCCAGAAGAGCTCCAGCAAATACTAGAACAAAGTTTGTGCCATCTCCAACCTCTTGCTCTTGCATGTGAGAAGCCATCACTATCATTTTTGCAGCAGGATGCTGTACCTGGTAGAAAAGGTTTGAATAACAAGTTAAAATATTTGATCCTTAAAGCAATATAAAATCATTCATTTCCTCACAACTTCTGAGGCCCAGATGACGCCATATGATCCCACTGTCATAAAGTACTGACTGTAGGCACAAGAAGAAAACCCCACTCCCTCTAGCCTCTCAGCACAAAAGTACCCCTTCAGAAACTTCAAAATGCACCTTCTTTTGATAACCATTCACCAAATACATACATCTCCACGCTATATGTTCACTAAATTAAAAATAACTCCAACCACTAAGTATTAAAAAAAAAAAAAAAAAGGCGTCAGGCTCACTAAAGGAGATGTCACGTAACTTGGTCATGAGTCTAAATTTCCATGCCTATTCTTACTGTAGAATATACCTTTTGTTTTTTAAAAAGGAAATGAAAATATTTATTTAAAAAAATGTACTGAAATTTTAAGTGCTTTTCCTTTGGATTTAGATTCTTTTACATAAACAAGGAGTAACAAGTGATAATAAGAAAACAAAAGAGGTGATACTATGATTGTATGAAGATAGTAACCCTTTCACACTTTAATAACTGCAAGCGCATGATAACATACATCAACATTGAGTCACTCCCTCCATAAATATTTTGTGATATTGTACTGTTTTGTCCAGTGTGTTATTCTAAGAATATATTGTTATGTAAGACATTAGAGAAACCCATAGTTTCACTTAAAAGGATAGTGTTGAGTTCAGAAAAGTTCCGCAGGCTGTACACATCCTTCAATGACAAAGTAGACGCGCGAGGATTGGCTCTGTGCTAGCAAGTGCCAGACCCCCTCACTGGCAGTGTCTTCCCTAGAGCTCTACACTAAAGCTGCAGGAGAATGAAGGAAAACCCCATCAACTGTTTTATTTTCACAGAGCCAAACAAAGGGTCTAAATTATTTTTTCAAACAAATGTTTTAAGGTTCAGCAGTTTCTGCATGATGGAGTAATTCACACAGGTATCACACATTACAGAGATTTTAAAATTTGAGCTGCTAAAATGTTACATCTATATAGGACACCGTAAGCTAGGAAAATCTGTAATTTATTTTCATTAGAAGAGTCCCTTATTATGCAATCTGAAATGTTTTTATGTTAAAATATAATTTTGGATGACAACAAACCATTTCTTGAGTTTTTAAACCAAATTACTTACTTCCAGCTCTCTTAAAATGGTTGCCGCATCATTTGTCACAAACAACTTCTCCAGATGATTGATAACCATTTTGTTCATCCCTCAGAAATATTGAGAAAAAGAAATCCATTACTCAAACCCCCCAGGAAAATCTAATCACAATAAAAAAAAAAAATGATGTCCACTTCTTAAAATAACTGTAACAACTCTTCTTTAAGCCCATTTCATTACCCCGTGGCACTAAAGGTACACCCATATTACCACTTTCCTTTCTAATCTCTTCTCCGAGTTATCCATTACTTAAGGAGGTCTGGCCAAGGGACTCGATGTAATATAGTAGGTCCCAATACCATGCAGCCTAGGTGTATGTAATTACATTCTGAGTCTAGAGAATCACTGAAATTGCCTAATGACATATCGTTGTTTATTATGTGATACATAATTATAATTTTACTAAGGAAATGACAATCCTGTCCTATTTTGTTCAACAAATTACATCAACATGTACAAATGCAAAAAATATCTACTAAATTAGCCTTTTGTTTATTCCATAAATCCACATAATGGAATTTTCTCCATTAAATTATAATGTCATTTTATTTTTTAAAAGCTTTTGTCACAATGATCATGAGGTACTATCTCAATGGTAAAAGCACATAATTTTTCTACCCTTTCAATAGAAAAGAAGGTAACATTTTGACTCCCATTTTCTTAGAGACAGAGGTACTGATTAAGAATTGCAAACACTGTACTGGTGTCACTGAACTATGAAATAACTTTCTAAGCTATACTACAGTATGACCAAAACCCAGTTCAGTATCATTTCCTCAAAACAAATTTGAAAGAGCTAGCACACAAAATACTATTATTCCATCTTTTAAGAACAAACTAGGAAATTACCATTTGGCCCATATGCTGTACGAGTCGTTTGGGCAAGCTCCTTGCAAGCCTGTATGTTCCTGTATACAGCTTCTTCTAATCCTGAAAAATGCTGCAAAGGAAAATTTTGATTAGATAGGACAGTAAAGCACAAGAATTCCTTCCGCTGTGAAATGGAGGTGAGGTAATAACAGTATCCACCTGTTAGAATTAAGACAATCAAGCAAGATTTATGTAAGCATGGTATTTGATATTCATAAATAACACAAAAATTTGCTTATTAGTTGAATGAATAATGAATTACAATTTCAGGGATCTACATTTATACATCAAAATATAAGGACTACTTCAGGGCTCTACCTTTATACATCAAAATATGAGGACTACCATTTTTTTCTTAATAGAGTGAAAAATGCAGGAAGAGTGCTAAGACTGATCAGAGAAAGCGTGAGCTATATCACATTGATCAGCTATTTCTGAGTTTATCAGTACATCTCGATTAAAGGCTAATATGTGGTATGAATTTTTTTTAACTGTGTTACAGCCTGAGGATCGAGAAGTCAGCAGGTCTTGGAAATTCCCAATGTTTCTGCTCCCCATTTAGGGACTGCAGTACAAATATTTCAGTGCTTTTCTGAGTTACCAACACAATTCACATGCATATATATTTAAAAAATCACTCAAACACAGCGCTAAAGTGCTCAAATTTTACATTATATTTCTTTTGGTGTGGGATTTGTGGCCTCAGAGATGTTTCATGAGCCTACTGTTCATGAGATCTCTTTCCTAAAGCTGCTTTGCCCATTATAGTAGCCACTAGCCACACTTGGCTATTTATTTATTTACAAGAGCTGGGGTACAGGCCAGAGATGCAGGGAGTGAGAGAGTGGGGAGAAGAACAGGCAGACTGACTGAAATACACTGCTGAGGGGAGCAGCAGGTGAGACAAGAGAGGTCTGCCGGAGGCCCGCACACTTGGCTACTTAAATTTCAAGTAATTAAAAACAAAACAGTTCCTCAACTGTACTAGCCACAGTTCAAATTCCCAGTAACTACATGAGGCCCATGGCTACTATAGAGGAGAGAGCTGATATAAAACATTTTTCCATCATCACAGAAAGTTCTACAGACAATACTATTCTGGAGAATAACACAAAACTTTTTATAAATTCCTATAAGGAACGGTGTGTGGCCCAGCAATGGTATTAACCACCACCTGAGTAGTACCTTCAGTGACAAGGGCTATACCCTCACAACAGCATGAAGTCTGACTCTTTCCTCTCCACCCCATTCTCTGGGCAATGTTTTTTCATCCCTCTTAGCATAAAACGTAAATTCCTCCTCAAAGTTCACAACATGCTCTGGCTGTCATGGTTTTACTAACACAATACACGCACACACAGGCGGGCTATTCTGTTCGCTGCGCAACCTGCCGTTGGGACTGCTGACTCCGACGCCCAGTTGCGCTGCGCTTTCCACAATGGCTGCGCAGTTCTTAGAGAAGACACCGCGACCCATCGCTGCTCAGAAAGACGCTGCACATCAGCAGCGCCTCAAGCTCCTGGACCTGCGCACCAGGAACGCGCAGAAGCCACGGGCAGCGTGAGCTCTGTCCTCTCGCTGCGCCCATCACCAACGCTGGGCATCAAGCTGTCCCTAGAACCCTGTGCGCACCCTGCTATCAACACCCCCAGACGGGCACGTTTCACCTCAAGTCAGCTGACCTAACAGGGGCCCAGAGCCCCTCGGAGTGTGGGCAGCGTCTTACAACCTCGCACCACTTCCACGGTGCTACTAGAAGGGGAGCCCGGTTTCTTACGGAGAGGAAGCTGCCAGCAAGTGGCCCTGGCACTCCTCGAAAAATCAATTGGTTTCTCACTTTGTAACAGGGGGGTCCCCAGGAAAGGGGGAGGTTCCAGGTTCCCTGCCCCACCCAAGGGAGGGTGGAGTGAGCAGGGACAGAAGAGGCTGCATAGGAGACTGAGGAAGGAAGGAAGCAGGATGGAGCCAGGAGACCTGGAGGAGGCGCATGGAGCCTAGAGACACGTGAAGGAACTGCGCTTGTCTTTTGGTCGTGGACTGGGTGACACAGATGTGGGTGAGACCCGTGGGGAGGTGACAATGGTGGTTTTTATCTTGATTTTGTTTTTTCTTTTTTCCCTGCAGACTTGTCTGCTTGTTTGTGATTTTTTTTGTGGGTCCCCACTGGAAGGTGCTTTAGACTTGTGCAGGCTTTGGGGCCTTGCTCTGGGCCAATCCCATTTGGATGGAGCTTTACCCACGAGGGGACGGATAACTTCGGGTGCTTTATTTAGAAACTACATCCTTTGCCTTCCCTGTGTTGTTTCCTAATGTATTAAAGTTCCTTCCCATTAAAGTCTCACGTGTTTTGCACTGATGCGGCGGGAGGCAGAACCCATTCAGAGCAGACAGGTTTGGGGGTCCGGCCGCCCTCGCCCCGCTCTGCAACAGACCCCCCCAAAGCAATGCACGTCATCAGACGTCACTAGCCGGCGGCCCCGAGCCCGGCGGCCCCGCCTGCCAGAGGGGCGAACTCGCCCGGGCCTGGGCGCAGGCCCCGCGAGGCGCGCAGGACGCGAACCCCGAGCTTCGCCCCTCCCCGGCAGTCTCTGCCCCCCAAGCTCCCCAGGATCGGGGAGCGGCGGAAACACCCAGGGACCGGCGCCCGGTTGTCCCGAAAACACCTTCCTTTCTGGAACCTTCTCTCCCTCGGGCCGGAGGAGACGCCCGGCCCGTGAGGGCCTCCCCTTCGCGGCAAACCCCGCAGCCCTTCTCCCGTCTTCCCTGCCGCCCTCCATCCCCCGCTCTTACTTTCGCTCCCTCCTTGAGCATCTGGGCAAAGCCCGGGGCCTTGGGGACGTGAAGCGCCATGACCGAGCTGCAGGCGGCCGCTCACGCGCTCGCTCGGAGGATCCCGGAGGCGGCGCAGGCACGCACAGCCTTCTGGGAACGCAGCGCGCCGGCGCCTCACGCCCCGCCACTCACGCCTCCTGGGCCCGCCCCTTCCGCCCAACCGCCCAGGCTGAGGCCTCGCGAGATAGGGCGGTGTCCGCCGCCAGAACTGAGTTGACGATCCTCGATAGGTCGATCGATCGGGCTGATCGCCGAGCCGCCGGGCGGGCTTCGGACCGACGCATGCGCAGAGGACCTAGGCGCTGGGGTTTGCTGCTGGACCCTGCGGCTGTTGAGGCTCCTCGTTGCTTCCTTTGATTTTTGCAGTTTTTAAGCTGGAAGCCATGTAATCATTGTCCAGATTCAGTCACAACCTCGAGGCAGGTGTGCATTTTTTTAACCCAGTGGCAGAATATTCACCTTCAGTGTCCGCGCACCCCTAACCCCGCCAGATGGGTCCTGGCCTCCGCTCTGAGAACGGGGTGTCGGCAGGAAATCGCCCCATCTCAGGAGTTTGATAAAAAAGGAAATGCAGATGGCCAGCAGGCATCTGAAAAGTGTTCAGCATCACTTGTCATCAGGGAAATGCAAATCAAAACTACCATGAGATACCATCTTACACCGGTGAGAATGGCACATATTAAAAAACTAGCAACAACAAATGTTGGCGAGGGTGTGGAGAAAAAGGAACTCTCCTGCACTGTTGGTGGGAGTGCAAACTGGTCCAACCACTATGGAGAGCTGTGTGGAGATTTCTGGACCTACTAAACATAGAGCTTCCATATGATCCAGCAATTCCACGCCTGGGTATTTACCCAAAGGACACAGAAACATCAATTTCAAAGAGCACCTGCACCCCATGTTTATAGCAGCACTGTTTACAATAGCTAAGCTTTGGAAACAACCCAAATGCCCAAAAATAGATGACTGGATCAAGAAGATGTGGTACATATACACCATGGAATATTACTCAGCAATCAAAAAAGATAAACACATGCAATTTGCAGCAACATGGATGGAGCTGGAAGGGATCATGCTCAGCGAAATAAGCCAGAAAGAAAAAGAAAAATACCGGATGGTCTCACTCATAGCAGGGATTTAGAAAACCTAAATAAGAGACTAGGAAAAAACGTAATTATAATAAAGTAAAAATCAAAATCAACAAGCAACTATAAACCAGAGACACACTACAGGCGCCAGGGGGGAGATTAGGGAGCAGGGTCAAAATAAGGGGGGTGGGAATTGTATGGGAACTGTAACCAAGATGAAAATGCATACGTTGTGCAAAAACGAAAAATGATGTAAAAAATACATAAAATAAAAAAAAGTAAAAAAAAAAAAAAAAGGTCGGGGGGGAACCTGGAATTTACAAAGGGTAAATCATTAGTCCAGGATCACAAATGTGCAAGCAATGTTAGGATTCCTACCCAGAAGAATGCAGGCACTGGGGGACCCTGGAAATAGAAATCCCTTTTATTCTCCCAGAGCAGTAGACCTGAGCTCTGTGTCTTCCCAAATCAACACCTGGGAAGACATGTGATTTTCAGAAGATTAAATGGTAGCGTTTGTAACAATAATTGAACACTATGAAAGTCATCCATTTTACTTGTAGAAAATACAGAAAATTGTATTTGACTTTTGTTCTTTGCCTTGGATACATGTAAATTACTTGTTTTCTTTAAATTGGGACAGAATTAGTGTGCCTTAATCACTTGTCACGTGTATCAATTATAATTTTTTCTGATAAGCCTTAAAAATACTAAAAGATGCTTTCTTTTTTTAAAAATTTATTTATTTATGCATACAAGAGCTAGGGTACAGGCCAAATGTGCTGGGGTGAGAGAATTCACCAGAGACAGAGTGGGGAGCAGAATAGGCAGACTGACTGAAACTGCCATGGGGAGCAGCGGGAGAGACAGGAGAGGTCTGCTGCACCATGTGGGTTTCTCCCCTGCCAGCTGGGGATCAAACTCGTGCTGCAGAGGTTGCGTATTGCTTCATAGTGCAGTGCTTAACCCCTTGTGCCACCAGGGAGGCACAAGGGTTTTTTGTGTTTTGTTTTTTTTTTTAAATCAAGTTTCTTTGGGCTTTAGGAGGCCCTTGTTTCAGGAGGCTCACAATCACACAAGAGTCAGGCAGCTGGGATTCAGAGTTGCTGTGCACATCAGAGGATTTAGTCTAGTGTAAAATCCCATGCGTATCCATCATCACCGCTTTGCACTGAATTGAAGAAGCAGAAAAGAGGATGATAGAATTTTAATGGATTAAGTCCATGTAATCAAGAAATGTTGCCCATGTCTGCCACCCACCAATCAAATAACTCCCTCCAATCGGGGGATTAAGGAATGAAGCAGCAGACCTGGAGAACCCGAAGAGTGTGAATAAGCACCTCCTCCCAATATAAATGTTATTTTTATCTCTTACTTTCCCTGTAAACCTTCCATTCCTAGCCCAGCATTTAATCTATGGGTAGAGATGAGGTTGCGGGGGGAATTGGGCTACCAGCCCACCCTGTAAATTCCACAGCACCATGTAGTTTGTCAAGTACCCATTGAGACAAGGTGAGGTCAAGCCACAAGGTGACTTATTTGGCTGGTAAAGATATAATGAGCCAACGGTTCAGAGCCAGATTATTACATTATGATGAAAGGAAGATTAGTCAAATGTGCCAGGTCCTCAAGGTCATTGTCTCATACCTCCCAATGAATGACAAAAGATTCAGGGCTGTCCAGTTGCAGAGGACCTAACTGGGCTTTGACTACTTGGTTTTATTTTCCCTCCCTCTATTCTGCAGGGGAGTAGTGCTTATACTTCATCAGACCCCTGGCAATGATGAGACACTACCTCCTGGCAGCTTCCCAGGGAGGACAGGGAGGTGAAAGTGAAATGGCCTCAGAGAAGTTCCTTGAGGATTCTCAGCCTATTCCAGGAGGCATTCTGTCAAGACTCGGATCAGGTTGGGGCAAGCCTTTGCCCACAAGGTAGGTCTATTTGGGCGCCTGCAAGGTGGTCACGGCTCCATGGTGGAGCTCCCGCTAGAGTTTCTTGGTGGTGTTCTCCGTGTGGCTGTCCTCAGAGGGCTCATTTCATTGATGATACCTGGTTTTACCCATGCCCACGTGGCCATTCCATGTCGTTGCTAAAATTCCTGCCCTTTCTCCCAAAGCAGCACTTCTCTAGCCTATGCTGCTTGAGATCCTGCACCCTGGGTTTATTTCCCGATGCCTATAGAATATTGACTTCCTGAAATATCACCGAGACACCATGTTGATGGGATAAAGCTGCGTTTATGCTACTCTAATGCAGAGAGCACTACTTTGACAGAGGCTTTAGGAACATCTCAGTAGGAGATAATGAGCAAAGTTAGGATATTTATGAGTTTGAACAATCTGGTTAAAGAAGGTCTTTCAGTGCAGGGGCTTGGTTATGTTTGAGTACAGGTCATGACAAGGATTGGTGGGCACAGCAAGGTAAGGGTTTCAAGGCCAGAGTTTTAGAGAGTCTTTAGGTGTAAAGCATTTGATGGATCTTTCAGGAAATTTCTGGAATGAACAATAAAGCTATTTGCAACTTATGTCTTCCTGGGTCAGTGTTTCCTGGAACAAAGTTAATGATCCTGAAGACATCGAAACAGTGAAGTCCTCCTTGTGTCAACAGACAACTGTGGGCAGAGTTGGTTTCAGTTGTCACCCCTGATACTTTTTCTGGTGACAGTCAGAGAGGATCCCTTCCAGATGATTCAATCTCCTGTGAGCTCAGGTGAGGTGTCTTGGTCCAGAAATCCTGTACCTAGGGCCTCCCCTGGTGGCGCAGCGGTTGAGCGCTGGGCTGCAAAGCTGCCCGCAGCCTCTGCAGCGCCGGTTTGATCCCCAGCCGCCAGCGAGGGTCCCACGTGGCGCAACAGACCTCTCCTGCCGCCCACTGCTCCCCTCAGAAGTGTATTTCATCAGTCTGCCTGTTCTGTTCCCTGCTCTGGCTCTGGTGAATTCTCTCACCCTCCTGCACTTCTGACTGTACCCAGTGCTTGTATAAATAAATAAATAAACCTTAAAAAAAAAAAAAAAGAAAAAAATCCTGTACCTATCTTCAAATGCCGGTGGTATTGAGGGAGGCTGTGTTTAGATCTGAAGTGGGAGCAGAATGTCTCTAGGCAGATGCATCATTTGCTGAAATCATCCCCACGGCCACTGCAACCATTCTCTATTTTTGGTTTTCTAGTAGGAAGTTGCTTCCCTTCCAATGAATAAGACTCCTCATTATATGGTATAGTTGGGCCCCTAAGATAAGGTTCCCATGCTACCTTGTTTAAAAAAACCTCCGCATTTGAATACCTGTCTGGTCTCAAGCAAATTTACTGTATTCTTGCTACACTAATCATTTGCCTGGAGGAGGCCTTAAATCCATGGCTTTAGGTCTCTAGTTTCTTATTAGAGGGGAAAAAAAGTTTTTGCAGAGGCAAGGATGGATTACTTATGCTCATTTTTAAAAAAAAGCTTTACTTTTATTTATTCATACAAGAACTGGGGTGTAGACCAGAGGTGCGGGAGGATAAGAGGATTCACCAGAGACAGAGTGGGAAGCAGAACAGACAGCTCTACTGAAATACATTGCAGAGGGGAGCCAATCTGGCGAGACAGGGAGAGGTCTGCTGTGCCACGTGGGTCAGCATCCTGACCCCAGGGGATCGAACTCATGTTGCAGTGATTGGCAACAGCTTGATAATGCTAAGACTTACCCCCTTGTGCCATCAGGGAGGCCCACTTCCGCTCATTTTTTCCAAACTTGTATGTATAAGGGGATGGCTCCCAAACTCAATTGGTCAGCTCAGGCTGACAACAAACTAACTCCAGGCTGGGTGGCTTACACAACAAAACTTGATTTCTCTCAGTTCTTGAGACTATGGCATCCAAGATCAAGGTGCCAGCAAGATACGTTTCATTCTGAGGCCTCTTATCTTGCCTTATAGGGAACTACCATCTTGCAGAATGTTAGAGCTCTGGGGTAGCTTCTCAGAAGCTCACTGATCCTATTGTATCCAAACATGACCCTTAGGT